TTATATTGCACTTTTTTATGCAAAAACACTAGGCGGTAAACGCGGCCTTTGTAAAGGCGGTAGTTGCACGCCATTAGCGATGGTTAATTGTTCAAGAATGGTCAGTCTAAATGTAAAAACCGGACGTCGGCCAAGTTTATTAATAAGTAAGGAGAAATCTTGACTGGACCCACTGAAATTGTTCCACTAGTTTAGAATCTTTTAATTGGGTTGCATCATTTTACACTAGAAAAACGTTTTTTTAGAAGTGAATGAAACTGCTGTGATTGCTATGCGCACGGCGCTCCGAGTGTATGATGCGCTTCGAAGCGATGCTGCAGTATTCCCTGTGATAACTGGCAAAGATGTTCAAAATATACGAGCTATAGCTGTTGATCATCAAAATACAGCTGTGTTCTGGTCTGATGACGTCAAAGATGCAGTCACAAAAGTTTACCTGAACGGAACGAGCGGCGAAAAGACGGTTGTCTGGAAAGGTTGCCTGTTCATCTATTTCTTTTCATTCACTCAATTTTACGCATTTTTTGAGGAAGAATCGTGCGTTTTTGAGTCGCACTGTACAGCAGTAAGGTCGCCAGCTATACGAACAATGCACTCGTGACCAAACTTCTGTCATTCCCGATTACCATGAGAGGAAAATGTGCGCGGTTTTGCAAATGAAACTTTGAGTTGTTTATCCCGGGGACATCGGCGCTCGTGGAATTACATTTTGCCTTTACGGGATAGCACGTGGGCAGTAAACTTTCTCAAAAAAGAAGAACCTTCTTCGCGGCCTGGTTCTCAAATTACAAAAAGCAAATTTTACCACTTGAAATTTGACACGCCTGTATTCGAGACGTAAGCGCACATTAAAATTGATTCCGCCCTCAGTGCCGCATAATACCAAGCAAGTTCATTGAAAAATTACGGTCTTCAAACCTGCCTGATACCTGCAGGAGGATTCCGATTTTATAGCCCGAATATGCGCCGTAGCTTCACGCGGAATCTCAGTTTACGCTCACACTAAGCTGTACTAAGCGTTCTATCGAAAAAGTCATCAGAAAACAGGCATTCGAAAACGTACTAGAATCTTAGTACGCATCCATCCATTCGCTGGAATTTTGAAGAGTCGTCTTGGTCAGATTGTGTTTCTTATAAAAATTCCTTTTAGAAATCTCGAACTGTGATGGATTGGCAGTGGATTCGGAAGCAGGAGTATTGTACTTCACGAGCTGGACTGACAGTCCGAAATATGCTTCTATATCGGTGGCAAATGTTGACGGATTATATCGACAAAGGATTATTAGTAGCGTAAGAACACCGGAGCTGAGAAAGCCACAGGGGCTGTCACTGGACGTCCAACAAGGGTATCGATATGTTTCATCCTTAATAATTGAAATTTTTTGCTTTTTATGCGTTTTGTGCCGTGCAACAGCTGCACAAAACGCACATTGTCACGAGTTTCCCGCGCTTGTTTGTGTCCGCAACGTTCAACCCAGGAAACATAAAAGCTAGGAAGCTGAAAATTTAGAAGGATG